ATTTTAGAAAACACGATTGATTAATTTCATAGGCTATTCATCTGTAAATGCTTGTAGTATATTCAGAGTTAAAGATGACTTTCTGAACTTAGTTATTTGGTGATGAATCTCGTCAGCACTAATTTTGGGGGCAAAATCTAGCAGCGCTTTCAGTTAATTTTAAAATATTCCTAGTCTGTGATTTTAGCAATATTTAAGCAATTTCTTAATGCGTTTTATTAAAAGTTGAGTACCAGACCTTCCTTTTACAATGTTAAAATTAGGCATCTATAAAGTCTAACTCCATGTCCTTGATGGCTTCAGCATTTGTTCGCTGTGACGTTGTCTCAATGGAAGTCTGAAAATGCAATTTCAAGAAATAGAATATTTAAAGGGACAACAGTTATCAAATTAAATGCAGTCTAATTGTCTTTATAGCAGCTGAAAATAATTCGTGACACTTAATCACAGATATTTGAAGAGAAAGAGCTTGAATGTTTTATTTATTTATTTGTAGTCTGTCATGTCGCAAATAGTCTTCCAGGACTGGGAGGATGCAACCAAAACTTAAGCTACCAAGATGTAACTGCTGTCTGTCTGGCTGATCTATAATGATTTGCTTTGTGAATGTCTTTCTCTCATTCCAACTGCAGAGGAACTAAGATTTTTGAAAATTAACATAAGCATTCTCACAAGTTTACTATGCTCTCATGGGAACTCACTTGCAGTACTGTGTTCAGTTCTGGAGTCCCCAACACAAGAAGGACATGGAGCTGCTGGAGTGGGTCCAGAGGAGGGCCATGAAAATGATCCGAGGGCTGGAGCACCTCTGCTATGGACACAGGCTGAGAGAGTTGGGGCTGTTCAGCCTGGAGAAGAGAAGGCTCCGGGGTGATCTTATAGCAGCATTCCAGTACCTAAAGGGGGCCTACAGGAAAGCTGGAGAGGGACTTTTTACAAGGGTGTGTAGTGATAGGACAAGGGGCAATGGATTTAAACTGAAAGAGGGCAGATTTAGATTAGATACGAGGAAGAAATTTTTCATTGTAAGGGTAGTGAGGCACTGGAAGAGGTTGCCTAGAGAAGTTGTAGATGCCCCACCCCTGGAAGTGTTCAAGGCCAGGTTGGATGAGGCTTTGGGCAACCTGGTATAGTGGAGAGTTTCCCTGCCCATGGCAGGGGGGTTGGAACTAGATGATCTTTGAGGTCCCTTCCAACCCAAACCATTCTATGATTCTATGATTGTGACAGCTCACCTCACACATTTGAAGCCTTAATCTGTTAAGGGACAGTAGTTATTCAGGAAACAGGTATGTAATGTTTGGACTGTATGTGGGAGTATCTGTATATGTAACGTATGGAATGGATGTTGAGTCATTGAATTTGACAAATACTGAACACCAAGAGTTTAAAGAAGGCTTAACCTTCAGTTGTGCTGAGCTTTCATGAATAGTGCATGCGTTTAGCTCTCCTGAGAAAATTGAGTTGTGGTTGGAAGTATGGGAATATATTCAAGGTGTCATCAGACAATATCCCTCGTGAAAACTGTAAGAAATTAATTTTCTTTACAATCTATGATAAGATGGCAGCTCAGCATCAAGGATTGCCTCAGGTAAAAAATAACTTATTTCCCCAAAAGGGAAGAGTTATGAGAAAGGTTCTAATAAATATTCCCTTTATACTCACAAAGGTTGCCAACAGTAGTACTCACAGATGGTGCAAAAAGGCTCTGGAAAAATCCTTTGCTTAAAAGCTGTGCTTCTCAATAGAAGAGAGGTCCTTCGTACTTCATTTATATATGCACTATTTGGACAGAACTGTATACCTAGGGAAGCAATGGGAAATAACTCTCATATCCACAAAATACTTGGAAAACAAAGAAAAAAGGAAAAATTTCTTGATGTAGTAATGGCTATGTTCTCTGCTTTCCATGCACGTTCTTCCATTTGGTAACATGCTTCTATGTCGTTAAAATATACTGTAAATTTTGTTCCTCTTTGTACTTGTATTTATGTATAGTTCTACCTATCTGCAGAACTCTATATCTGTGTGTCGTATAACTGTTAAAATTATATTCTTAGTTCAGTAATTTACATGCAAATTCAGCATAATTTCTGAAGCATTTTTCCATCTTCTTATGCATAGAGTACCTGTAGGGGATGGAACGTATTATGAAGCAGGTGCTATCAACCAAAGCCCATGAACAGGTCTGTCAGAATGGAAACTCATAGATATCTATTGATACCAATAAAACGTTTCTCTACAGTTGGGAAACTTACGGAAGACTCCAACAATATCGTTTCCATGGTAATGCATGTTAAAAACTATGAAGGCAGTGACTTGGAAAGCCAGCATGGATCATAACCTTACTAATAGCTCCTGAGATGCTCAGGCCAACTTTAGTAGTCAGCTATATGTTCCTTTTTGTCATCATATTTTAAATTTACAGATAGGATGAAAAAAAAATAGGATGAGAAGGAGAAACATTTAATGGTACATTCGTAAAATACATCTGCATGGAGGTTATGAAGCTTTTCCAAGAGCCAGACAAATTGTGTTCTTTCTATCATCCAAGTAAAAGTGAATTTGTTTCCTTCCAGAAGTATCTATGGTTATTTAACATGAATTAAAACAGTTAATGAGACTTGCTTTACACAACATTTGATAGTTGTTTATACGTGAGTAATTTCTCACACATTGACAAAACTGTTGAGCTGAAGGCTATAATTAAAGTCTTTGATTTACAAGATATATGATGAGTCTGCTTTAAGCATGGATCAAGGTACCGCTTAAAGCATTCTTGCAGAGCAACCAACTAGACTCAGTGCTAGAGCCTTCTAGTTGTGGATGTAGTGGCTTAGCTACTAGTAATTAACTGGAACAGCTTTATTAGGTATGAAAAACTGGAAACTTAACAACTGCACGGTTTTAACTATAGTTTAAATATTCCATGTTTATCTGAAACAAGCTATTTTAGTAATTATTTCTTCTTTGTCTCTTGGAGCTCTTTTCTTTGAGACTTTGATGCCTTAAATGTAACTTTAATTTCTATGGAAATGCTGTCAGAATGATAAATTAGGTAGGAAAAGTATATCTATGTTGTCAAAACCTTTTAATTTACTGTACTCTCTTTGTATACATGACATAACTGTTTCTGTTGACCATTAAAGAAGAAAACAATTTGGTAAGGTGGCTGGCTTTTCTTATCTTCCTGACAGTATAGTTTTTAATTATGTTTACTTGGGGGACTAACCCGGAGCTGCTGAGGTTGTTAGAAGTTGCTTCCAAAGTGTCACTGAGCAAGTATGTTCTGGCATATAAAGTGCAGCAGAAGATATAGAAAACCTCCAGGAGAAAATTACTTGATTGTACCTGAAACAGTTTAAGTAAAATGCATCATCAATGGTGTTAATGTAGGGTTAATTCCAGCTGAAACAAGATTTTTGGTCAAGATATTTCCCTTAGCATATGAACCATTTCATCTAGAATATAAGCCCTTGTCAAGTGGATCTTCAGCTCAGGACCATGTCAGTAGGAATGGGTTGTGTATGTTCTGGGGAATGTGTCAAGGTGGTGATGGGGTGTCACATCTGCATGGCAGCATGGCATGGTGTGAGGTCAGTCACACGCTGCTTGCTGGGTATAAGAGATGCTGCAGGAGAGGAACTTCTCCAGCATGGGGGTAGTTCTAAATTTTAAGTCTGCCTCTTCCATTTCCTATGCAACTGTTTATTTTCTAAGTTTATTCTAATTTTAAAACTCTCTCATTAAGGCTTTGTTTATTTTGCTTTGGCACAGAGGAGAAGTAAGGGAGGAAGGAAAGGAGAAATACTAGCATATACTTTTACAGTATTACTTGTAGCTATTCAGGAGAAAGCTAGCAATGCTGCTGTTTTAAACATTTTATGGTTACAACAACTTGGGATGAGTTAAGAAAGACTGGGAATCTGGGATGTGTTTAATCTCTCACCTCAGACTGTGCGCTTTTTTTTCCTTTCACTGTATTAGATACTTTTTAGGAAGGTACAGACTATCATAGCTACAGACCTTGACAGAAATTTTGGAATTTCCTATAGTTAGATTTTTAAACATTTAATAAATTTTGCATAATAAGATTTCAAAATTTTACTGTTTTTACAGTGCTAAATGTATATGATTTTAAGTGTAAACTAGTTGCGGAGAGGTTGAGTGACATACCAAATATTTTGAGTGTTGGAGTCTCAGCTTTGTCATTGAAATAAGCAGATACTGCCAAGACTTTGACTATCTTCTGAACCATTGATTGTGGAATTGGATATCTGCAAGCTGCAGAAGTTGATGGACTGCTAGCAGAGACTCCCACGGCACATGTAGGATTTACGTATTTTACCTCTGAATTTGCTGTTGCATGTGAGCATGACGGCAACTACTGCTGTTTTAAAGACTGCAAGAACTAGGAAGTTTTCTTCCACAAATATATACATATCTGTCTCTGAGTGGCAAATGTACAGTAAACCAATATTTTGGAGATTTTCAATGAAATAAGTATTACAAATTTTCTAGATGTTCTCATAAAGGGTATTCTAATAAATGATGTTTAGAAAAGTTAAAATATGCAATTCTTTTTGAGGTGTTAGCTGTGAGTACCACTTCATCCCTTTGTTAGAGCATGGCCGTTGTTGCAGGAACTTACTGGCCATCTTGCCTTGAAAGCTGTCACACTTTTTGCCATAGATTTCAGTCATGTGATTACAGGAACTCTATGATTAGGATTTGTGATGGTGAACATTATAATCATAATGTAAGATGATTGCATGAGGTAACTGTTTGCCTTGCAGACTGCTTATGGTTAGGAGCAGAGCTGTCTTTTGCAACACATTTGCAATTTGTACTTTTTTCTTCATTGTTGACTTGCTGTGTAGTCTTTTCTGCTGCTCCCAGGAGCAATAGAACTCAGTATTTCAAGGGTGAATTTTATATAAAGCTAAGGTGCTTCTTCCATTCTAATCTGTAATAGCTGTGGGTTTTTCTCCCCCTTTCAGGAGGATACAGATCACAATTACTATACTTCAAGGACATATGGCCCGTATGATTCTACCAGCCGGGATTTGTGGGTCAATATAGACCAAATGGAAAAAGACAAAGTAAAGATTCATGGGATCCTTTCCAATACCCATCGGCAAGCAGCAGTAAGTTATTACACCTTTTTCTTCTTTGACAGACATGGATGTTTTTCAACAGTGACCAACACAGTAGTTAGTATTACTACTAAGTATTGTGACTGCTGTTCAGAGCTTTATCTCTGAATTGTAGTTAAGCTATGAAAGCCTATGAAATGATTCCAAGTTGCCTTTTTGCACCTGCTCTAACAGTCCTTCAGAGATGCCTTTACAGATATATTTAAAATTCATCTCCTTTTTAAGGATCACAAACTATCAAACACAAACTAGTTGTGTAGCTGAAGTTAGAAGGAATTTTACCATTGACTTCAATAGCAACAGAACTGGGCTCAGGATTAAGTTACTGAAGTTTAAGTGTCCCATTGAGTGTACCAGAGTTTGCACTTCCAATTTGTACAAGGTGTCATGCTTTTTTTTTTTCTTTTGGGAGAACTGATAAAGCTCATGAGAATGTCATATAGTAAGAAAAGTGATAGGTGTGGTCACAATTTCAGGGTATCAACAAAGAAATATCACAAAGAGTATAAGTAAAAATCTTGTTTAACTCATTGTAATCATGCTGCCTGTTAAAATGAGTATGAAAATAATGGGCTTAACGTGCTTACACATGAAATTGAATGCTGCACAATTTATGAGTTGTAGTCTCAGATCTCCATGGCTGGAAACTGCATACATAGAAGAGCCAATATTGGCACGTACAGAAAATTACAACACAGATTTGTGTTTTGTGATGTTCTTGTTTCAGCCATTCACCAGCTTGGCTTGAACAAGAAGTCCTTGGGTTTTGCCAGTTTAAAACCAAAATCTAGTTAATGCCTTATTAAAAAGTTGTATAGTTTTTAAACATGCAGGTATGTTTAACAGTTTTGAAGCTGAGAGAAAAGCCAGATATCATCCATCTTTTCTGTCAGTTTATCTGTTATCTCCCTGGCACCAGCCAGGTGATGGGCTCAGAGGAACGTAAGAGGCAGCAAGAAGAAATACTGTGGTATTTAGCTCAGAATACAAAAAGCAGAGTGGGGTGATAAATCCCCTACATGTGACTAACAGAGAGCCCTATACATAAAATATATTCCTTATAGCCAAAAAGACTGTAAGGAGCCAGGGATAATGCAAATGCAGAGGTTTCAGGCAGTGATATATCTTTGGAGTAGATTTAATAAAACTCTGTATCAGCTATTTTCTTAAGACAATTTCTTTCTAATGAGATAAAAACCTCAAAGCTACCTAAAAGTGAGAACCTGTATTTTCTGCCTTGCCTTCTTCATCTGGGATCCTGGTGCTCTGTGTTGAGGGAGAGAATCGAAACAAATGAAAAAATTAACAAAGGAACTAAATTCACCTATATAAGGTAAAATGTGTTTCCCTAATAAAATCGATTTATGAGACTTGAGACCTAAACATTAGTGAAATTCCTTTGAGAAATTTTAACTTGTCGTCTTCGCTAATCATTAAACAACATCTTCCCCCTCCTTTGTTCTAAGCATTGTTTCCAGTTGGATCCCTGAGATTATACACCTAAAAACGTCAATTGCAAGGGGAAGTTTTGTTGAAGTTATTGAACCAGAGGTTTAAAGTGAAATAATGCTTTTGGTCTGGGTGCGAGATTGGCGTGGAGGACCATTCACCATGGCAGAGGGGAGCTTGGCAGCACAAGGGCTTCAACTCTCTCTCCCCAAAACAAGCAGTTTAATTAAGACTTTTCTGCTGAATGTCAGATGCCCACTCCACCTTTCTGCCAACTCTACCAGAGAAGGCTGTGGTCCCAGTTTAGTGTGCTGACATCCATCTCTATTCATACTTACCCAAACATACCTGGACAAGCTCAAGAAATGGGCCCATGTGAGCCTCGTAAGGTTTAACAAGGCCAAGTGCAAGGTCCTGCACATGAGCCAGTGCAACCCCAGGTATCAATACTGGCTGGGGGATGAAGGGATTGAGAGCAGCTCTGCAGAGAAGGACTTGCAGGTACTGGTGAGCAAAAAGCTGGACATGAGCCGGCAATGTGCGCTCACAGCCCAGAAAGCCAACGGTATCCTGGGCTGCATCAAAAGAAGTGTAGCCAGCAGGTTGAGGGAGGTGATTCTGCCCCTCTATTCTTCTTTCCTTAGACCCCATCTGGAGTGCTGCATCCAGATCTGGGGACCTCAGCATAAGGACAGACATGGACTTGTTGGAGTGGGTCCACAGGAGGGCCACAAAAATGATCAGAGGGTTGTTCAGCCTGGAGAAGAAAAGGCTGTACAGAGACCTTATTGTGACCATTCAGTACTTAAAGATGGGGACAAACATTTTAGCAGGACCTGTTGCAATAGGAAGGGGTAATGGTTTTAAACTAAAAGAGGGTAGATTCAGACTAGATATAAAGAAGAATTTTTTTATGATGAGAGTGGTGAAACACTGGAACAGATTGCCCAAAGAGGTGGTAGATGCCCATCCCTGGAAATATTGAAGGTCAGGTTGAACACGACTCTGAGCAACCTGATCTTGTTGAAGATGTCCCTGCTTATTGCAGGGAGGTTGGACTAGATGACCTTTAAAGGTTCCTTCCAATCCAAACTATTCTATGATTCTCTGATCTTGGACTGTGAACTTGAGTGGCTGCAGCCATCTGTACATGCTGTTTTAAAGACCTGTTTTTCAGAGGTTTGTTTTATATCCCTCCTGAAGGACGATAAAGTACCAGTGAGTCATCTAGGAAGGCTTTATATTTTATTTACAGGTCTATAATTGATTTCTTGTATATGTCTGAGCAAACAACACTCATGTGTACTACACAGCGAAGTTATTTAAAAGTGAAGTTATTTAAAAAAAAAAGATGTTCTCTGTAACTGTATAGCAACCGTGGAGTCATATATTCTGAGCAGATCATGCATAACTAAGCAGCAATCTCTTCCCTTCTCTTCCATAGAGATAAACTTTGCCATTACCCTTTTTAAAAGGGCATTTTGCACATCTTTCTGTGACTTGGTGATTTACATGCTGACAATTTCTAAAGATTAGTCTCAAATTTGACAGGAGAACAAGGAGTCAAATTACTATATGCTAAATATTAATGAATTTCTCGAATGGTAAAAATTTTACACTGAATTTGTGTGTTTTCTTTCATTTGGAAGTATAGAATCCTAAGAGTTCCCGGAAGCTGTCAGTTGGTTTTGCTTCTACTGGAAAAAGTAATAAAGAGAGGATCCATGAGATGATTTGTCTCTATAAACAGTATAGTCATTGATGGAAGTAATACACAAGTTTTAATGGAACAAATAAAATGGCTAGCACTACAGGATCATTAATAGTGATTTTTTTTTTTCAATGTATTGCCACCATCTTCTTAATAGTATAGTAAAATTTTAGGTGTGGCTTGGATGCTCAGTGTGTTTAGACTAGATATCTAATAATTGATTACTTAAATACCAAACTAGATACAGGATCACCTCATACTTGGAAACTCAATTCCCTTTCCTGTCAGTCCAGTCTATCATTTATGCATGGAGAAATAATTTTTATTCCAGTAGGTTGAAAATCCTGATACTCTTTCTGAAAAATGAGGTATGCTTCCTAGCAGCAAAAGTAAAAACACATTTATTTCTAGATTTATTTCTAGTGGCTGTTCCAATATTACACTTCAAAATATTCCTTGTTCTTTAATACAGTATTGTAATAAACAATTGTCTGTATTAAACATTTTTACATTGTCAGAATTAGAGGCATCACTTTTTGATTGAAGTCAATGGGAGATCTATATCAGGCTTGAGTGGGCATAGCATTAAGTCTTTATTGCAAACATCTTTGTGCTAACATTTAGATTACAGCAATTTAGAAGGCTGTTAAGGGGGCATAGTTGTCTTTTGAAGTAGTTTAATGGTTATTGTGTTATACAGAAAGTTAATGCTAATAAGTAAAATGGACTACAGTGTATAAAGGAAAGAGTGAAGGTTTGGTCAGAAAACTGATGTTTTTAAGTGTGTTTGGTAGAGCAAGACCATAATTTAAACTGAGTGCATACATAAACATAGCATACACCTCAGCAGTGAAAACTTCAGAAAATGGAAAAAAAAAAAATCACATGTTTAGGTTAATTCATGAGCTGTCTTTTGCATATGCTGTTTTGATTATGTTCTATCATTATGAAATGTTCAGTTGTATATCCATATTTATGTATATACAGAAAGGGTCATTAGAACCTGCTCAGTCCAATTAACACAATGCAAATGGATTTTGCATTTTAATTAGAAACAAACAAACAAAATAATAAATCCTGTCAAAAATCTGTCTTCCAGTTAAGTGGAAAGAAAATCTAATTTAAAGTTACTGTAAATCTTCAGATGTTAATTTCGTGCTAAATAATTCTTTAAACATTTCTAGTGGATGTAAATAGAATTCTTCCGGAGAGAAGAAATACTCAGATATAATCTGAGATTAATAAACCCAGGATTGAAATAATGGTAGGGAAAATAAAGACAAAATTCTCTTTCCCCCCCCCCTCTTTTTTTTTCTTTTTTTAAATGTATGAACTGCTGCCCTTTCTTAAATGGAGACATCAAAGATTAGGGTTGAGAGACAGTCATCAACAATCCATCTTCACACCAATTTCTACTGTAGTAATTCCTCCTAAATAACAAATAATAATGGCTGCATACCCAGTCCCTATTTTGACTTAAGGCTATTATGGAAGTTATGTGGTTTTTATGGGATATTACATTTAAACAGTGAAAATGTTTATCCCTTACTGGGATTTCAGCACTCCTTTCTGTCATGACTACCACTTTGTTCAGTTTAACCAGGTAGCACGCCAAATGATGATTATGGGTGGCCGCAATAATCAGTGAGCTTTGGGAAAGGAGTAGAATAGATGGGAGAGAGCCACAGGCAGAGAGGGAAAATGAATTTGGGTTTCAGTGGTCCTTTATGGATAACTTAGGTGAGGAGAAGAGTCTATTCCCCAAATAACAGTTCTCTGCTGTGAATTCAACTGATAAAGGAGAGTCACCTGAAGGCTGCCGGGGGGGGAAAAAGATTTTTCTTCCTTTTTTATCTTGCAATAAGTACCTTAAGTAGATTTTGTTAATACCTCTGTTGAATATTTCTTTATAAATCGTTTCAGCTCCTAGTTAATGGTACTGGTGTCATGTGGGTGTGATAAAGGAATTGCCTTCTAGTGACTAGCCTTGGTCAGATAAGCCCCCAGGTAGCAGTAGGATGTCAAGGAGAGCACTGAAAGAGCATTTGGCAGAGGAGCAAACCACCAGCAGCCAAGGGAGTGGGCATCCTGTAAAACTTAGATATTGATAAGGCCTTGAATATTGATGGCTCCTCTTAAGAAAGAGGTTAAAGCAACGTTTTATGAGGAAAAACTCTACAAATCTTTATCAGTTTCATTCTTATGAGAGAGTTATAATGTCTGCTGATATGTTTTATTTTCTGAAGTCTCTGATTATGAAGATCCACTGCTTTCAGGTGTTTAAGTGCTACACAGAATTGTTTCTAGTTAGCTATTGGCAATTCCAAATTAAGAATAGCAAGGCTCAGGTGAAAAATAAAACATAATGAAACAGATGTTTGAAGTGGAGGACTGTTCATTTTGTTTTCTCTTACTTTTCTGCACAATATCGATTTTATTTTCTGATGTTGTTCCTTTCAGAGAGTGAATCTGTCCTTCGATTTTCCATTTTATGGCCATTTTCTACGAGAAATTACTGTGGCAACCGGGGGTAAGTGGCTTTCTAACCATTTCCTTTGAGTAATATGAGAAGAGTTTCTTACAGCTATTTAAAATATCTTTTTCCCCTGTATATGTCAAGAGATAAACTGCAGCATTTATTTAGGAAATTTTCCTTTCCAAGAAAGAAAATTACAAAATATAGATATGATGAAAAACCTCCAGCTGCTCAAGTTGAACTGTTAGAGAATCCTCTCAGTGTAAGACTTTGTAGCATTAATCATTTTCTATTTAGGTATTTCCCCCAGAAATCTTTTGTGTGTTTGTGTGTGTCTGGAACAGTTGCACTTACGGAGATAGTGCCGGAGCCAAAACAAGGCAGGAAACAGGTTTTGCCTGCATTGAAGGCAGAGGATTTACTATCCAAAGATAAGAAGTGCTGCATGAAGTACCTAGCTTGTCACCTGTAAGACAAAACCCATTGTGATGTGTTGCCTTGGTGTGGCACAGTGTCTGTGACAGTACCATGGTGTCCCTCTCCTCCTTCTGTGGGGTAAGAAGGGAGGTATGGCACAGCTCGAGCTCCTGGTCTTATAGCTCTGGGAACCACTGATGGCTCTTAGTTGAGGCTTCCCCTCCCACTGTTGCTGGCTGCTGCTTGAACCAATCTCCTGCAGTAGGAACAGCCATTGACCCCTCCAGCTCCCCCCTTGCTCCGCCTCCTTGAGAGACAAAAAGGCAACCAGAGGAAAATGAAATGACGTGGAAGACAACAAATGAGAAAAAGAAGGAGGAGGAGTAAGAGTTGAAAAATGAAAACAGAGAGGCAGAGGGCAGTATCACAGAGCACACCCACAGCATCCTCTGGTCCTCGAACGTGTCCAGCAAGTTCATGGACTCCAGCTGGTGGTGCTCTGCCTAGAGGTGTGACAGGACAGGCAAACAGAAACAGGAGCCACCATCACCAGGACCAATCCTACCCTGTCCCTAGTGATAAAGACAAGTTTTCAGTGCTTTTTATACTGTTTGGTCTACTGTTTCTTAGTAACCAAGATTTTTTACAATGGCATTTCTATTATTAGAGATCTGGAACACTTCCAGAGGTTGTTCTGAGATCAAAAGAATGACAGAGTTAATGTGTACAGGAGTCCCACATGGCAGATGTCCACTTCCTGGAGAACAGGATATGATTAATTATGCTAATGACAACACTACAAACTGTTTTTACCTCCAAATCATAAATTAAATAACCTTGTTAAAAGGACAGTTGAGGACAATGGCACATTAAATCCCTGTCACAATAAAAATGTCTACCCAAATGGTTTCTGCCATCATTCATGGAGGGTGCATTGTGGTATAGTAGGCTTTCCAAATTACTCAAGATGATTTTGAAATTTCTGAGGTGTAAGTCTCAACTTTTTCTTTGTTTTAACTAATATTTATTTCTTCTTCTGAATGGTTTTGCTGAGCTGATTGTGTTTGACTAAGGAAAGGAAGAACAGGGAGTGAAAATAGCTGGTTTGAGGGCTTCATTCACTGTTGTCCTTAGCCTGTATTTGACAAGGCCATTTACTACTTCAAAACTAGGGGGTACAACAGCTTATAGTATTATTAACATAATTAGTAATTTGTGGTTTTTGGGATATGGGCATCTATTTCCCCATATATAGAGAACATTTTTAAAGTAACCTCTGAAATCTTTGATAATAACAGATAACAAAAGAAGACATGGAGTTTTGGTTTTTTTGTGAAGCTTTCTAAAGTTTATGCTCTACAGGCCACAAGTGTGGTTATTTCTGTAATAAACCACTCATGAGTTAGTGAGTCATGTTGTGAACGTCAGGGAGCTAAGCTCAGGAAGTCTGTTTCGTTGCCTGTCACTGATACTCCTAACAGAGCTCGGTGGCTGTGGAGGTGGGAAAACCCTCTCTGTGTTACAGCTCTCCAGGCAGTAACACAGCCCTTCTCACGGGGGTCCTTGAAGCTCCGTGACTCTACATCCCACTCAACATGCAACAATGCTTCATACTTGGTTGTATTAGTTTTCCATGCTCACGGTAGTAAGTACCTCTGTTTATTCTCTGTGACTTATTGTTTTGTTTATCAGTGTATGTTTTCTAGTGCAGCCTTGTATCAGATACTGCAAATTACTTTGGAATTTTTTTCCTTTTATGGCATCTCTCATGGACTGAACATTTCTCAATGGTATTGCTATGCCTGTAGCAGCATTGCAGAGGACAGTGGTAGCTAACCCAGATTATTATGGATTTTCATTAAAATTTATATTTGTTGCCTGGGATTAATAAAGATTTTAATTTTATCTTTGGAATTTCTCCTGATGGTTTGAATGATCAGAGATCATGAGGGGTCTTAATCTAGTCTCAGTCTCTGCTCCTGCCATGGAATAACTGAATATTATTATATGTGACCTGTAAATCAAGAACGTGTAATAGAACTGAACTGCCTGGGAACATGAAATACACTTGACTTTCACATTTAACTATAGATATTTAGTAACAACAAGGGAAACAGTAAATTAAAAAAAATACTTCTGTATTATTATATACTGGGAAAACAGTACTTTGATCATAGAACTTTTGTATAGACTTACACTATCAAGGAGATAGTTAAGCAGTTATTTATAAAAGAATGCCTTAGGTCCATCAGGTTTTATTGGGAAATGCTGACAACTTAGCATGGGTACATTTCTGGTATTTTATCTTCAATTCTTTCTCTTCTCTTTTTTTTTTTTGGTAATAGCTGGCGGTTTTTGCAACATATAGCAGATAGAAAAATCAAGGCTAGTAGGCTATTGTAAGAAATTCATAGAATCATAGAATGGTTTGAATTGGAAGAGATCGTCTTGTTCCACTCCCCCTGCTATGGGCAGGGACATCTTCAACTAGATCAAGTTGCTCAAAGCCCCATCCAGCCTGACCTTGAATACTTCCAATGATGGGACATCCACAGCTTCTCTGGTCAGCTCATTCCAATGTCTCAACACCACCATCTACCTTCTTTCAGTTTAAAACCATTACGCCTTGTCCTGTCACTACAGACCCTGGTAAAAGTCTCTCTCTTTCTCTAATAAAAAGTTTTATTATAAACCCATCTTTAATTATTGAAAGGTCACAATAAGATCTGCCCAGAGCCTTTTCTTCTGCAGGCTGAACAACCTGAACTCTCTCAGCCATTCTTCATAGCAGAGGTCTTCCATCCCTCTGATCATTTTTGTGGCCTTCCTCTGGACCCGGTCCAACAAGTCCATGTCTGTCTTATGCTGGGGTCCCCAGATCTGGATGCAGCACTCCAGATGGGGTCTCAGGAAAGTAAGGTAGAGGGGTAGAATCTTATCCCTTGACCTGCTGACCACGCTTTTGTTGCAGCCCAGGACACAATTGGCTTTCTGGGCTGCAAACACACATCGATGGCTCATATCTACCAATATCCCCGATTACTTCTCCACAGAGCTGCCCTAAATCCCTTCATCCCATCTATATTGATATTGGAGATTGCCCTGATGGTGGTACAGGAGCTTGTGCTTGGCCTTTTTGAACCTCAGGACGTACATATTGGCCTACTTCATGGAAGGCCGCTTACATTATGTATTCATGTTATCCCTTTTAATTTAAGTAAATGAGAGATAGCACTAGGGCAACAGGAGATGGTAATTTTGGAAGGATTGTTGCAGAATTTACATAAACTTCGGCTAAGAGATAGCAAACTTCCTTGCTGGACAAGCTTTCCTACATCGTCTCCTTGCATTTTCTTCCAAAGCATCTGGTCCCACATGGTGTTAGAGAAAGGATTCAAAAGGAATTGCACTGTATAGTTCAGCCCAATATGGTAGTTCTTATATTCTTCAGAAAAAGCAGCAAAACTTATTCATGTATTTTGTCTGAAGACTGAGCATGCAAATTATTCTCTATTTCAATAGCAATCATATTTTTATAAGTAGTGTAATATATATCTATTCACTGGGTCTTAGACGAGATGTCTTCTATCCTCTGTCTTCTTACGATTTTGTTTGTAGCAGGAAGCATGCAGTAGGGGAGATTGCAGCGAATACATAGAAGTAGTGTTTAGAATATGACCAGAGTATTTGTACAAGTAAAAATAAAGCAATAGTCATCTTCAAATAGTCATGTAAAACTTGGGCTTAATTTGGGGCTAATTCCTACTAAATAACTTTCCCTTATTTGAAAAGTTTATTTACTTCCCCTTAGCCTTTTTTTTCTGGATGAGCAACATCTGGAAGCTCCAAAAGAGATTAGATAATCCTGCCAATCTATATAACCTTTGATGTAGCCAGTCTTTCAAGAACTGTCACTGAAAAGAAAACCGTGTGTGCATCACCAAAAAAATTTACAGTTTTCTGATAAGTAACTGTTGACTTGGATTCTATTGTGGTTTTTGTTAATGTTTTCAATTGATCAATTTTCTCCATCTGTAGTGAAAGTTTTTAGATTGGTCCAGCAAATTCTTTCATGACTAGAATTTTCTGATATTGAGGTTGTTCCCTTTGAACCATCCATCGTGTTTTATTCCCAAAGCCAGTGACTGCTCTGCAAAACAGAAGACAATGCAAGTATTAACATGCAGATTATGACTTTACACTTGAATGTTTTGCTAGCAAATTCATTTCAGTTAATTATGATATCATTACTGAAACAAAATGTTCAGAACTGAAAGAAACTGTTACTCCTGGAACATCAGTACCCAACATGTAGGAGTAATTTCTTTCAGCAAACTAAAAATGGAAATTAGGTCTGTGAGCTCAATCCTGAAGTCTCTGGTTAGTTTTTCACTCAGTCTTAACTCGGGCAAGTGGCTATCTTTTTTCAAAGTTCAAAGGGAGAAAATAAGGTCTGAATCTAGGAGAGAAAGTAGATGAAGAGCAGTAGAAGGTTGAAGCTTAGTTTGCTCTGGGACATGAATGTGTAGACCCCAACTAGATGGACTATACCAGGACGAGAGGATGCTGATGATTAGGGGACAGAATGAATGAGAGGAAGGGGTTTACCACTGCAGTGGTGTAGTAAGGAGCTAGGA